GTATGGCCACAGATATTCAGCTGTAAGACCACCCAAGCAGGAAGAGACGTGAAAGCCCTATCTATGATGTTCATGGTATCAGTCGGCGCATAGACATGCGTCGGATCCTGCTGCTGGATCTCCACCAGCGACGCAAAGCAAGCACGCCAGACAGGGCCCTGCGTTCCACGCCAGTCCTGGCAGCCGACACCTGGGTCCTGGAACTGGGACGGGTCGACGGGGATCGGGGGAGCGGCGGCAATATTGAAGTCCCCCACGACAACGACGAGACAGTTCTGAGGATCTTCGGCGGCGATGGCACGATTATGTTCAATTTGCGAGGTTATGTATTTCTTCTGTTCAGATGTAAGGCCAAAACTGTGGATGTTGTAGTGGGCGATCCAAGAGTTCCCATGATCACAAACCATCATTACGCATAATGCACGGCCTGGGACCAACTCTTCAGGAAACGTTTCCAAGACAACCTGCGAGTTCGAGACGTTCGGGATCGGCGTGAGGACACCAGCGGCACAGGGGTCGGGGATCCAGGTGACGATCTCATTCTCAGACGGGCCTGGGATCATCTTAAAGCTAGTGTAGCACTCGTACGGCTTGTGAACAAAATGCGCCAGGTTACGAGCTTCTGCAGGCGAGCCGTGGGTCTCCTGAACAGCTACCACACTATTCACAGACATGAGGAAGGCGAGGTAATTGAACTTCTTAGATCTTGTAGGGTAGTGATGGCGGAAGAGAGCATTCGCATTCCAGCTTACAAAACTGAGACAGGCACCGGTGGAGCTGGACGCCTTCCAGGGCCTCAGAAATGTGTTCAAGAGACCACCCGCCCTCGTCGTCGCGCTGCGCCTGGAACAGCGCCAGCACGCGGTGCTCGAGGCGAGACCTGTCGATCTGCTGGGCTTGCAAATTCGGCAGGTGCCACTCGATCGTCGGGGGGCCGTCGGCGTTCGGGGAGTAACGCAAGAGCCTCTTCCAGGCCAAGGAAATCTCGCCCCTTTCTCTATCCACGAAGAAGCGCCTGTCGGGGTACACGGTTTCGAACTCCCTGCGGATGAGCTTGCATCCGAGTTCGCGTCGAACTTGAAACTGGTTTTTATCAGCGCTGATAAAGATGTCTGTGTCCTGGCCAAGCGGCGTCTTGACCACAAACTTCCTCCAGCTGCCATCTCTGTTGCGTAGCGTTCCAAGGGCCTGTCGAACTGATCTCGCTGCCCATGCCGCGCTGCCTGTGATCTGAATGATGTGTCTCTTGCTCGTCGGTGTCGAGGCCGAAGTTGTGATCTCCCAGTCCTCAACGTCCAGGCTGGAGTCCGCCAGCCAAGGCGCGACAGCAGCACGCACGGCCTCGGCAGACACCAACTCTTTGGCACGCACGACCAGGATCGTGGCGTTCGGAGGCCTGGTGAATCCAGCAGGCGCAGCAGGGGCCACTGGTTCTTCAGACTTGACACAACGTAGCTGCTCCATAAGGTAGTGAATTTGCTTCTCGAGTGAGCCGATGCGATCTTCATGATTTTTGATATGGGTCTCAGCCTTCCGCATGCGTAGCTCCACCTGCTTGTCGACTGCCTCGGCGTGGGAGGACATCGCTGTCGACAGCACTTGAACATTGGCCTGCACCGCCGCGATGGCTGCCATGACTTTGTTGTGGGACTCATCGACGTGGGACTTGAGTGCCATTGCCTCTGGATCGGGTAGGACTGGGCCACCACGAGCAGGGGAAGCAGGAGCACCAGTGCCAGCCGATGCCACGTTCGCCCGAGGAAGGTCATCCTCGGAAGCAGAGAGAAAGCCCTCTTCGCCATCCGCTGCTGCAGCACCAGGGCGACGTCGGCCATTCTTACCTCGGGCGACCTTGGGAGGAGAAGAAGAAGACGAAACAGATTCAGCACACTCTTCAGGCATTCTGTCGCTCGCACAAGAATTGTGAAGCACCCTCAGCTACACAGGTAGCTGACAGAATGGGACAAAAGAGAGGTACTGTGTGTCCGCCAGTGCACGACACACTGGATCGCTCGAAAGAGAGCTGCCCGCTCAGAAGGGACCTGTTCCCACTTGAGCCAAAATGGCTTAAGCCAAAATGGCTTGAGCAAAATGGCTTGAGCCAAAATGGCTACGGACCTCCTCCTCCTCCTCCTCCGCCTCCTCCTCCTCCTCCTCCTCCTCCTCCTCCTCCTCCTCCTCCTCCCCCCCCCCTTCTCCTCCTCCTCCTCCTCCTCCTCCTCCTCCTCCTCCTCCTCCTCCTCCTCCTCTTCTTATTCTTCTCATGTTTCTTCTTCTTCTTCTTATTCCTTCTCCTCCTCCTCCTCCTCCTCCTCCTCCTCCTCCTCCTCCTCCTCCTCCTGAAATTCTTGGGATGTCTGTGCAGGAGCTCCAGGAGGCTCAAACGCTGTTCTTGAAGGTTGCTGGGCCCAAGTGTGCTACGCGTTCTCGGGCCTTGTCGCTCGCTATCCTTGAGGACCCTACCTGGAGATCCGCCCTGGGGCCATGCATGTACTGGAGC